ACCTGATGTTTACTTCTGATCTATTTATTTACGTCAGTTAATCAGAAGCTTTTAAGAAAGTCGTTAATCTACTTTTAAAGTTTAAGGTTTCGTTTTAACACCTACCTTTAAGTTTTTTGTCAGTTAACAACACTTTTCATTTTGTCTCCATTCGTATACTGTTGAGTAATGGTTACCTTTAAGAGTTCAACACCTTCCTTTAAGTTTTTCGTCAGTTAACAACATTTCCGGTTTATCTCTATTTAGTGACGATAATGTTCGTTGAAAATTTTGTACAGTAAGAAAAAACGGCATAGTGTTGGGCGGTTGCCAAAACACATTAAAAGCCATGTTTTAATCAAAAACAACAAAATAAAATAAACATTCAAGAAAGAAAACTTTTCTCTACAGGTAAAAACACGTAGAAAAGAGATTTTGTCCAAAAGAATATAACCTAAAACTGAGATCGAAATAGGGTGTGACTGTATTAAGAATCCCATACCAATACAATGTATGCTGAAGTTGCATACATACTGGATTGTCAAATATCAAATTATACTAAAATGAAAGATATTATTTGGTAATACACTTCAAAATAATAAATAATAATTTCAAGCAAGCTTTTAACTAATCTAATTTACTCTTCATTTGTTGTTTGAAATAATGAAACTCATCTCCTTATCTCAAACTTCGATACATTTTTAAATTCGTGAACTTTTATACAAATCTTTTTCTTTTAATTTCCAAATAGCTTAACATTGCTCACAATATCTTAACTTTTTTTATAAGTGTTACTTACAAGACCTGATATTCTGTGGATCTATAAACGATTCTTTATTATCATAATGTTTTAACTCCCAAATGACCGCTCATTATTTGTGGAGTCCAAATATTGGGTAATTTTATGTTTTTGTTTACTTAGAATACTCTGTGTAAAAAACGATAAAATATGGATAAAATCATTCATTTTCTACGTAAGTTACAAACAAGCTTTCAATAGTAATTTGAGGGATTATTTGCAATGTTGATAATATATTTTGTGTATATTTTGATATGAAGCATATCAACCTCAAAACTCGTAAACCAACAGCAATTCGGAGCATAAATACCTTAGAAAATGTGTTTAGAAACTCGTTGTAGTCCATATCAACTCCACAAGTAATTTTACGGTTAAAAGTTATAGTATGGAAACTATAACGAGTACAGAATGGTTACGAAGTCGGTAAATTCGACCGACCTTGTGGCGAGAAAGTTAAAGAGTTAAACAAAATATTAAATTTCAGTAATAAGAAAGTTCCATAGGTACTGTATATTAAACTGATGGTAGGAATAACATCCACGCAAGGTTTATTTTGTACGACAAGACTGAGTGAGTCTTTAACATGGCTAATTCGGCCTATTTACGTTCACTTTGATTCGAATTTATTCAGTTTCTTACTCCAATAATGTTTTATTACTTACTTTTTCCTGTGAACTGTGTAAGTCGTATCGGGAAGCTGCTAATGCTGAAATACCATTTATAACACTAAAATAAGTGATGTTCACACTTCATGTTGAAGCATTAGTGACAAATGCATGTTTAGAACATTAAAGAAACAAAAAAGAACATATAAAAGTGGACAATAACGAGAATTTAAGCACATTTCAGTGTTTACTCTAAACTGATCTTATAACAATCTTTATGGAGAAAGACAAGAATACGTTCCAGATTGTTCCAAAAACGTTGTAAACTGAAATATATATTCACTGTCATTTTACAGTGGGAAAAAATCAGAAAGTGTAAGTTATCTCAACCACTGAGAAACTGGGTAATCGGAGAGTGCGCTAGCACTCTCATTTAGGGATGACACGGACGCCCGTATTAAAACAATACAAAAGTCATCTGGATTTTCTTCTCTACAGGTCATCAGAAGCTAGGTATGAAGAGCTACCTGGCATAGGTGATCTGTCTCTGATGTATATGCCGTTTTTCAGCTATCCAGCCCAAGGTCGAAAACTGGCAAATATAACGTTATAATGTGCTGGTAAAGAGTAGCATAAGTGTTGGCGGTTAGTGGTGTTGACTAGCTCCCTTCCAGCTGTATTTCACTTCCATATTAGGGACGACTAGAGGAGATAGCCCTCAAGTAGCTTTATGCGAAATTCAAAACAAATAAACAGAAAGCAATAACACAGCAACTGCATTTTTTCATTAGCACTCAAGTTTAGTAGTTACACTCACAGCATTATAAAGAATCTTGGAAATGACAAATTTCAAATCTTTACTAGATACTGATATGTTATTCTGTGCGATGCAAAATGTTTCCATAGCTCTTTCTTTTTTGTTGGCTATTATTCTTTCTAGTATATGTGTGATAAATGAGAATTTCGACAATGAGAAAAAAGGTAATTAATTGGCAGAAAGTATTTACGAATATAAATTCGGTTTCTAAAACGTTTGCTGTAAAAACAAACCCAGCGTCTGTTTCTTCCTAACAGGATTGAATTGCACAGTTTTGTTTTTTGCTTGTTGTTTTGGAGTAACCTTCTTAACTCAAACATTTGATTCAACAGAATGCAGAATAAATCATGAACTCAAAGAAAAACTGCACACAATAAACTACGACAACTTACAATAAAGAGCAAGTGAATAGTTTCGGATGATGCAACTACAGCGGATGTTAAAAGCTTTTTCAAGATTTATTGTTGTAGCCCAAAGAATCATCCAAATAGATATATTTTTCTTAATAAATTATGTGACGGATTTACTACCATATATCTATTTTAATATCGATGTTTGTTTAAGATTTATATCCGGAAATGTACATAACTCATACTGTTAAACTGTATTGCGAAATTCCCGCCTATTCATTAAAATTGTAGAAAATTCTCGAGTGTAAGAATCAACAATATATGTGTGTGTACGTATACATTGGTGTATCGTTTATATTGTTACGTAAGCTGAAATTTCGACAAACTCTTCTCAGCCTATAAATATAATCAACTCGACGCGCCAAAAGACAGTATATATTATTGGTTTGCTATAATTGGTGTACTATAAACCTCGGAAGATATTACTGTGATTGGTATAACGCTTATTAATCGGGAACTTCAGATGTTTGACTAGGAACGTTTATGGATTTCGAATATTACAAACTATTTAACTTCAGCGGATGCACATCGGATATTATAATTTTTACGCAAACATTATACAACTTCATCGGTGGATAACTCGACGTGTGGCCGGCAAAGAACGAAAAACAGAGCTAGCTAGCTAGCTCCATGTTAAGTGAATTGTATCTACATCTACTCAGAACTAATTCGTTCATCGTAAACCCACGACAAGATATCAAGGAAGATCCAGACCAGATAGAGGCCTAAATATTATTTGTAAGTTTGTAAAACTTTTGTACATAAATCACTACTTGTGATAAGAGTTATTGTAAATTGTGTTATGTTTTGTACATTAAAATATATTTGTATTAAAAAAGCCGTGTGTATCAATTTTGATGGCAAGTATCATAAATTGGATATATATCGACATTTATTTAATTTCTAAATCTAAATTATCATTTAACTTAGTTTCAGGCTATTCAAAATTATAATACGTAACAATTAAGTAAAGCTACTTAGGGTAAAATTAACACTTTTGCCATTATTGAGTCTATAAATAATATTTAAGTCTCTGAGAAAGTGCTTGCTCTTGTTTATTATGATAGACAACTGCTATGGAACTTATGTAGATTGGTACACTTTTATTCAACTCATAGCAACGTTTCTGACATCTGAGAAATTTACGAGTAAATCTGAGGAGCAGATAAATTGGCAGGTGGATAGACAGACAGCTAGATTTTCATTTGCCAACAAATATACCTCGAAACAATAACATCTCACAATATCCAAACATCCTGAATTCTACATACGAAACTTTAATGATAGACAGTAATATAACCAGATCAATGAATTAGTGAGTGGATTAAAGGAACCTGGCATACAGTAGCACAAACAATTAGCTGGTAATAGAACACTGTAAAAACTCAAACTCCGTGAAAACAATTTGATGATGAGGTTTTGAAATCTCAATGAATGAATCACGATGTCCTTCAAAATTCTGAGGGTCGACTATGACTCTCCATTATTCTCTATTCTCCACTCCTTCCTCCAAGTTTCCTAATTCAGACTTCTTGCCTGCAATTCATTTTCTAATGTCATCGAGCCAATTGAGTCTCTGTCTGCCTCTCACTCTTCTTCCTTTGATTTCATTCATCAGAATAGCTGTCAACCCTCCCTCGATCTACTAATTCGTAAAGCAAAGAAATAATTACGCCACAATGAATGAACTATATGTCTATATAATACTTTGCAGAAGTTCAACGTTTATTTTGTGATTTCCAAAAGTTTGCTCATTGTTAAAGTACCGACCTCACCACACTGTTAATTCATTATATTGGGACCAATAAGTATTGTCTTTGGTAAGAAATGAAGTTCAAGCTCGTTATCATATGAGAACCATTTTATCCAACAAAGCTAATCGCTTCTCCAGTTCTAACGTACAAAATGTGAACTTAATCATTCTAAGTAAATAAGTTATTCTCTTAAGTTTGTTTATAATTTAATCACATGTTTTATTTGCTGTGATGTGTTTGAGTAGGCTGTACATCCCTAAACAATATACTAGAGAAGGATGTGCCTGAAACACATACACTAAAAGCGTTGGGTTTAGCGATAGCACTTTCCCCCTCGAAGCAGATTTCTCGAGAGATTTTGATCGATGAATTTTCTCTGTGTTTGGAATATCAAATCAACCTTCATAATATGTTATTTCTTTTACCTCTTCTCTCTCTCTTCTTCTTCAACCATAACAACAGCGACATTCAACCAATCATCACTCGTTTTCTTATGACATCGGAAAGTTATTAAGGTACTGATGCACAGAATTCCCGCCAAGCTATCACGTGAACTAGGGAAGATATAGTTGCTAGGATACGGCCTCATGGACCGCCAAGTTTCCCTCCGCGCATGCGGTTTCCGTGCTAAGAGCTGAACTAGTAAGTGTATTGTATGTGTATATCGTACTGAGCTTCTAAGCTGGTAGTTGAATGTCTTGAATACATATTTGCCTAAGGATTAAGAAACGTTAGGCAAGAATTATGAATAGGAAATGAACATTCTCAAGCACTGTCTACTTAATCATCAATTTGTTCACAAGTATTAAAAATGCGCTAAACCTTAAGACTAAACGATATCATTCAAATATTCTTCTGCTGTGGTTTACAGTGCTATGACTTTTCCAACCACTCCCAAGTAGCTGACAACACTACTCCTGTTATTTCTACTAGAACCTGATAAGCTAAGACCAGGTAAGACATTGTTTTCTGGTCCTTTTACAATTAGTGATTCATTCTCTCCTGTTGTGCAACATCACCAGAAATATTAAAACATAAAACCATTAAATATATGCACAAATATACTTTCTTCTCAGAATTGCATTTCTACTAATGTTTATAGATTCTAAACCTTGCAATGACGTTTATAACTCTGTCCAAAAATTCACTGAAACGATTACTTACTGTAATTTTGACTATTTTGTTAAGTAGCTGGCTAATTTACCACAGTAAAAATTTCTTTATTTTGTCAGGTATAGATTATTTTATATTTCAGAATTCTGTTAATGTTAAGAGGTTTTTCCATTACGTATAATTCTAATTTATCCTTATATGATACTCCCTTATCCTACTATCGTACGCCAGAGCAATACAGGAATAAAGTTAATGCTTACGTTGGAAGCTTGTGACGAGTAGGATAACCTATAGAGAAAAGTGGAGCTTTACAAGTATTGTTTCGCGAAGCGTGCTGACGCGGGAACTTGTTCACTATTGAAAACTGTGCTTTGGATCGATCCACTTGGGGCTCACGCTCTGCTTTCAAATTTTATTTTACTAGTTAAAACTAGTACTACGGACTTCAATCATTCATACGTAAACTCTAAAGTGTTTTCTAATTTATTTAGCTGAAGATTGACTCTCTGAAATCTTTTTTTTTCTTGTTGTTCTTCTTCTTACCGAAATAACTTTATTACGAGTAGGACTTAAAACGTTACAAAACAATAGCTATAGAGTAACAATAAAAACAGTGTTATGTGTACTGCTATTCGTCACAAAAGAGAAATATAGGACAACAATAAAACATTTATGTATCAAAGATGAACATTATACAACCATAGTTACAGGGTGACAATAGATATAATGTTGTGTTTTCATTACACATCACACAAGAGAATTACTCAAGAGAAATATGAGATAGCAATAAAATCGCTTATGTATTAAAGAAGAACATTACGCAACTATAGTTACATGGTAACAAGAACATTCTTACGTGTATGTTTATGCATTCTAGAAATCATTATTGAACAAGAACTATAGTGCACCAATAAAAGTAATGTTAGATGTATATCGGTGAAGAACATTACACAACTCTAGGATGAGGATAACAACAATGGATAATTTTATATGTATTATTTTGTATCGTAGTAGAATATAACACAGTCCTAGTTACAGGGTAACAATAAATACAATGATGTATATATTGTTATACGTTGTGGAAAGACATAATAAAAACACAGCTACAGGTAATATTAAATACAAAGTTATGTACATTGTTATATATCGTAGAATGTTTGCTAGGTTTAAAGTTTCGTTTTTTTCTACTTTTTTATGACAATGAAGTTAAATAAAGAGGACCTTCACTCTCCAGATAGGAATAAAAAAACTTTAATTTTATTTTGTATCTATAAGTTTGTTTACTTGAACTTATGAGGATTGTGAACCAACAGATACGAATTTTTTAACAGTTCTTGTATTACTACCTGATGAAGCCGCAATGGCGAAATGTTGGTTGAAATAAAGTTTATTATTACTATTATTATCTGGATAATAAAATACGTTTTTTTTTTCTAATCTGATTGCCAAAGTGTTTAAATTCTTCCAGTATGTACTATGATTTTAATAAACAACAAAATATTTCTTTCTGACATTTTATTCAGCTGGCATAGGCGACGACTTAGCGGGAGCAAGGCAATTTTTTGCTTCGTCAATGTTGAAACTGTGGAGATGTTTCTCCACTAATATTTTAAAAATTATATTACACAGTCTATAAACACACACACACTATCTTCCCTGAAACAGAACAGAAATTACATTTTCTCGCTAATTTCATCGTACGTAGGACACTTATCGTGCCTACAAAACCCAAGGTCATAATTCACAGCCTTAAACTAACTCACTTGTTAACTAATTGACAGTAACAGACAAATTGACTAAATTATAAACGAAACAGCGGCGTGTGGCCAGTTGGGGCGCTCGACTCGCAATCTGAGGGTCGCGGGTTCGAATCCCCTTCCCACCAAACATGCTCGCCCTTTCAGCTGTGGGGGGCGTTATAATGTGACGGTCAATCTCACTATTTGTTGGTAAAAGAGTAGCCCAAGATTTGGCGGTGATGACCAGCTGACTTCCCTCTAGTCGTTCACTGCTAAATTAGGGACGGCTAGCGCAGATAGCCCTCGTGTGGCGTTGCGCGAAATTCAAAGCAAAACTATAAATGAAACACTCGTTCATTCAATCTAGTCTGGCTCGTTTTTCATATATGGTTCAATACGTTTCGTAAACTTTGGAGAAAGGCAGTTTCAGCATTAAAGCCACGCCTACCATGTTACACTAAACTTCCTTATGGCTAAATAACAATACAGATTTCGAGAAAAATCTATATTAATAACATAGGCTCAGGAGCGTGATGCAGCTATTTTTTATTGTTTTTTTATGTGTGTGTGTGTAGAACACAGTCAGAAAACAGCACTTTTGTTATCAATAGTTGGTATTTAGTGTATTTAATGGTACGTACTGATATTTCAAGTCCACGTGTAGCACAATTCACTGCTCTAGTTAAATATTAAATAGTGTTTCTCCTACCGACCAACTTTCAATTGAATTCTAGAAGGCGTTCCTAACGTGCTACAGGTCTACTGAATGAATTCTCTCAGCTTTTACTGCAATCACCACTGGGGTCATTCAAGCGATCCTGTGTTTCATGGTGCTTCTTAGATGACTTTTCACAAAATTTAATCATATGCAGCTGAACATATCTGAAGTCAGAGGAGGGCATCGATGATTAGGGGCATCTTATTTGCTATGTTAACCCAAACCATTGAATTCAGAACTGAAACAGTGACTTTCTCCGATAAGTATATACAAATATATTCTCTATTCAAAGAGGCACTTCGTTACCAGGTCGAAATTGGGAGAAAGTATCTCTAGTCCCCTCCCGATTCTACCGCCTATGCTATGGGCTGAGAAGCTTCTTTCATTACTGCAAAATGTCACTGGAAATGTCAGGACTAGCTGGCATATCTTTAAAATTTGGCTGTATGCATCTAGAAATAATTAACTTTGCTCTGAAACAGATACATGTATTTTAGTGTAGTTGGTAGGTGTGTCACTCTTTCAAGTCTGTAGATTAAAATATTCTATTTCTGCTTTGTTATCTGTAGATCGTCATCTTCTAATTATTGAGTTGTAAGCTATTTCATTTCTCGATTTTTTAAACTGAAGGATATGTTAAACTACAAATTTGTTTTAGTAGTGGCAGTGCTTCAGTATTAAATCTCTCACTGATGCTTCCAATGCGAAATGCGCCATATGAACTAAGCTACACATGATCCTTTTTTTTTACCCTTTCCTTTCTCTCCGTTCCTCTTGAAACTTCTACTTTTAGGAAGTTATTCAGTTTCAATCTACAACACCTGAAATGTTTCATCTGATTTTAGTGTCTTTAATTCAGATATGCAGTCCGCAATCATTTATGCAATCATTTGCAAAAAGATATTTGGAGACCACATCTATCATTGAAATAATTATCTGAATGGTATCAGACAAAAATCAAAATTAATAACTTTGGTACGAACCAATGCTGTACTAGATGCCTCTTTGTTAAATGCACTGTCAACGTGAACAACTGACTCACTCGTGGAAAGCAAAGCTTTGCACTTATCGATTCTCCCTGACCACCTTGTTACAGTCGTTGATTTCAGAGTTTTGTTAAAGTGGGAGTCTTTGTTTTTCAAATATTTTTCCTGTATTACAAGAAAAAAAAGCTATGTCTCGTGGTGTGATTTTCCAAAATTGTACACAAATGTTCAATGACTCCATAAAGTTACGATTCAAAGAATTCTTGCAACAAGAAGAGTTAATCTATGTATATAAAATACGCTCTATCACCTGTTTTGTGGCTTACTGTCTGAACACCTTTACATGCACCTGACATAGATGTACAACCAGCTAATCATTGACTCCCTCAGATTGTAGATGTTGAGTCCATGATGCTCCGGAGTTTCATGAATACATGTATCCAAATGATTTCCACTTGGATTTTTTTGCAAAATCTACATGAATCAGAGAGTCCGTATTTCTGTTTCTTTACTAACATACTGCATAACAACTGACAGCTGATTTTGCCCAGTATACAGCCTTCTTCACTACCTCATTGATTTTTACTTCTCGCCCCTCCAGCATAGTCCAGATAGTCTCATTCTGACTTTTCGCTGAGAAATAATTAAGAATACCCATGGGGTTCTTCTTCACTGTAGGTGGTTCTTAAGCACTGGGTCATAGCTTGCTATTAATGTGGATAACTCTATAAACACAAATATTGCTTGAATTCCTGGATTTGTCATAATTTCAAATAGCAGTTTTAAACAAGAAAGGGCAGCTACAATGCCTGCCTGTTTGACCACTGACTTCTGTATGAACTTTTCTGTTGTTTCCAATTTTATTTGCCAATGCTGTTGTGCTGACATTTGTTGATGTACAGGAGCTGTTGAGATCAAAAACGGTTACCTTTTTTGAAATTTTTCTACATGCTGTTGGTTTTTGTTGTGCTTTGATAGTTCTTGTTTTGTCTCCAATATAATTTTCTAGTCCCTGAACCTACCTGAAGCAGAAGCTTTGTCACACTTTATTTTTTTATTATTATCATCATCTTTGGGTCTTTCACAGATGCAAAGCAGTTAACGTCCACAGCGTCAATAAAGATGACTTCGTACACCAGACTTAATCAATCATATGTATTTGTAACTTTTTTATCTAGAATGCACCGATAAGTTAAAGATGACCCATAGCAGGATCACAATTCCCTTATGTTAAGAGAATGGGTATATATTGGATAAGAAACAATTCTGAGAGGACATCCATTAACAAAATATACATTTGGTAGATAAATAGATGAAAATACCCAGGAGACAGCAACTGGCCTTTGCCGACACCAAGTGCCGTGCACAAACACATTGCATAATGGACCGTTACTAAAT